CTTCATTGTATCTGTATGTAAAACTTAATTTTTAAAAGAAATATTTCTGATTCTTAAAAACCCCAAAAAAATACTCGAAAATTCTTACAAATATACAAGATAAGTGATAAAAATTTGTGCATTTGATAACAGAAGGTTTGAAAAGTCTTCTAAAGTAGATCAAGATTGTCAACTGTCAAATTTCAAGTTTTTACGGAATTTGGAGGATGTCTAAAAACGTTTCGTTTTATTAAATTCTAAAATTAAAAAAATATATTTAGAATTACTGTTTAAAAAAAAATTCTGTAAATCTTTAAAAATACGTGGAATTCTATTTACTTCATTGTATGTGTATGTAAAACCAAATTTTTAAAAGAAATGTTTCTGATTCTCAAAAACCCCAAAAAAATACTCGAAAATTCTTACAAATATACGTGATAAGTGAAAAAAATTTTTGTTCTGTTAAAAATTTCTGTTTGATAACAGAAGGTTTGAAAAGTCTTCTAAAGTGGATCAAGATTGTCAGCTGTCAAATTTCAAAAAACCAGAAAATGGTTTTTAAAAAACAGCTATAACTGAGTTTTTTCAAATAACATGACCCCCGTTTTTTCAACGGCAATTGAAAGAACATCTTTTTTTTGTAAACTTTTATCAGTAAGTTTATCTTCTTCAGTTTTTGAAATAATCATGCAAAATGTGTTTTTTCATTTTCATCGTTAATCAAGGAAGCTTTGAAAAGTGGTCAATAATTGTCACATTGTGACCCTCCAGTTTGTTTTTAACTCATTAATTATCGAATAAACAGTAAAAAAATAATTATTATGGCTTATTACCAACCAAGTTGTGTTTATTTCAAAAATTGCAAGCGATAAATATAAGATGTGTCAGAACTCGCGCCCCAGAGAATAATTTCAAGTAAGATAAGAAACTAGGAACTAGGAAACTGGAAAAAATGTTTAAAAAATTCTATCTGTCAAAAAATTTTGACATTTATTTTTTGACATTTGACGTCTATTTATTGATGCTGATGTTCTTGTATATGTTTTTTTTTTCGGTTTTTCTATAATTATTTCGTAAAGATACAAAAATTTGCCCATAAAAGCCACAAATAACATTAAACAGAGTTACAATTTAGGCCTATAGGAAAAAACTTGGAATTTTTTTCCAACAGAAATAAATAGAGTCAAAGTGCAAAATTTATACTCTCATAACTTCGAAATTTTTATAGTTGGAATTTTTTTAACATTTTTTCCATGTTCTTGGTATCCCACCTCTGGGGCGCCAGTTCTGGCGCACCCTGTATAGGACATGTTGATAAAAGTCTTCATAAAAATCGATGTTCTTTGGATTGCCGTTGTGAAAATAGGGTTATGCTATTTGAAAAAACTGAATTATAGCTGTTTTTTGATAACCATTTTGAAAAAATTATATGGGTCTTGAAATTTGAGACTTGACAATCTTGGGCTACTTTAGAAGATTCTTCAAATATCCAGTTCTCCTAAGCAAAAAAAAATTACTTGTTGTAAAGGGTTCAAGAGCTGTGATTTTTTGAATGCAAATAAAAAACATTTCGGCAAAAAATTAACATATGTCAAAATTATGACAGATAAATACCAACAACTCAGTTCAGAAGGCGAATTCAAATGTACAATAAAAATTAATACTTTCCATTTAAAATTTTAAAGTTGGCGCCTATTTTTTGTAGTTCCGGAAGTTTTAAAAATAATTAAGTCAAAATAAGAATTGTCGATTTTGGTCGCATACAAAATTTCAAAGCTATCGAGAGATCAAGTTAATTTGTAATCGAGTCATCTTTGCATCTGAAAACGTATGTCTCTTTTTAACTGCACATGAAACGTCAAATAAAACGACAAGTCGAAAGATAAAACGGAAGAATGTATCATAAATTTAGTTATTAAAATCATCATCTTTTTTATCAAGGCATTTTACTTTTCGACTTGTCATTTTATTTGACGTTTCAGAAACAGACGTTTTCGGATCCAAGGATGGCTCGATTACAAATTATCTTGATATATTGGAAGTTAAAAAGTTTCTAATGTAGGCACTACAAAAATCACCCTCCATTACATACCTAGTTTTCTAGTCAATACGTAATATACTATTTACAGTTCGATGGTCATCCGGGATTTGACTTTGAGGTCAGCTGCGAGTTTCGGGTCGTTCCACTTGATTCGGTTGCTCTACGACGAGTATATGTTTTATTTGATTGAGCATCAAGTCGCCGAAGCTACGGGTGTTGTTCCTATTGCTGTTATTCTGGAAGGAATTGTAAGTATGAGGGATGAGAAGGGTGCCGAGTCCTATGATTTGAGTTGCAGAAACAGGACATTATGCAGAACAGTTTGTCGATTTATGGCAACGATGGGGTTTGCAACGGGGGTGTGAGCGCGAAATTGAGTTGTGTGAGCCCCTCTGACCACCTTTCGAAACGGGCGAAAATTAGCTAGCTTTCGAAAGGGGCGAAGTTTATCGTGACGTTTCAATAAGTTGTTTTCGGTTGGTTTTGTTGCGGTAAATGAGGGACCATTGTTTTCTTTGTTTTTTTTTCATAGTATGATTAATTTATTTCACGTATTTAGGATGTGTCATTTAAATGTTTGAATTGTGCAATTGGTTATGAAGCATGTATAAGTGCCGTCAAATTTGTGTGACAATAGGTGTATATATCATACTTATATATGTACATTGCCGCTAAAGGAATTCTGTAATTATAAGTCACTGAGATCAAGAGTTACTTAGACTGATTTCGTTGGATTTTGTTGTATGTACATAATTATTTATTCGTTTTTTTCCTTTCTGTGTGTTTAATAATTGTTGTTTTTCTGCAAGTGTTTTATTTTCGGGACGGTTATTTGTGAGAAAATTTGCTTGAATTTTCTAACAAATTCGACGAGTTTATTGCTCAAAAGTGTAATCCATCCATTAAAAATATAAATAGTTGAACAGACGACTACGCAGGGTATATGACTATTCCTCTAAGCAGTACAAGTAAGTGTTTGGTGTTATTCTTGCTGACGCCCCCATTCATAAATTGTCTCACTGGTAGTTCCACCAATCATGTTCGAACAATCCCATTGGTTACTACAGGGTAAATGGTTTCCATTGTTTTACTACTGCTGGCGACAAATATGACGGGGCGACTTTCAACCGGTTGCCTGATGTACATTTATTTGTAAAAAATGGTAATTTTGTATTTTCCCAGTAAATGTGGCTTTCATTTGTGCTTCATCGACTATGTGTGGTTTGCGGATGCACTTATTTTCAGTTCGGTGGCGGCAGCCTTTCGACTTTTGACCGCCACCGGTCGTTGTATCTAGAGAGAAAGATCTGTGTATTTTTGTAGATGTCGGTATATGAAACTGCTTTACCACTTTTCTGTTGGCCGCTTTGCGAAAGTCGGTTAGATCTCAAAGATATGTTCAATATATTTTTCTCATATTTTGTAATTACATTTATCAATAAAACTAGTCTTGTGTTGTTAACTTGCTTATTTATCGCCCCCCAACCGGACCGAAGACTGAACCTTGACCGTTCGAGGCCAACTGCAATATAACCAAGATGTTGGCGTTTCTTTGCTGTGTCGTTTTTCTCGTCTACGCGTTTCATCGATTGACCATTGCTAAAACGAAAAGTTCGACATGTCTAGTGGGCAAAACTGCAATTGTCACGGGAGCAAACTCAGGTGAGTCCCAGGTTTGCGGCTTGGCTAAAAAAAAACTCTTAACGGTGTTGCCAGATATGGTGATTTATTATATCTGGTGATTTTTTGGAGATGTAACTCTGCGGTTACAACAAAAAATATTACACTAATTTGTCAATTGTTTGGTCAAAAATAATTTTCGAGCATTTTCCACGTTTTTCAGAAACTTGACTATTTCGCTAAATTTTCTGAAAAATAAATCGATAAACCAGTTAAAAATAGTTTTGTTTGTTTTTATAAGACTTTGCTAAACAGGGCCGAAAATGACAATTTACTTTTGCCTTTTCTAACTCAAAAATTTTTTCTTGAACACACTGGGAAATTACAAAAATTAAGTAGAAATTGATGTTAGTTTGTTAATTTCGTTCGTCTTAGTTTTTTTTAAGTAAAATTAAGTCAAAAGTAAGCCGAGAAACAAAAAAAATTGATCGAAAATGCTTTTCAGCTCATTTTTTTACTAAAATTCAGTTTTTTTATGAGATTTTTCCGTCAAATCTGTCACTTTTTTGCGCAATTTTTGAGAATTTTGCATGTTTTTTAGCCAGAAAACTTAATTATTTTGCAAAACTTTCCCAAAAATAAATCAAACAATCATCAAATTAGTTAAAAAAATAGCATTATTTAATTTTTAATGAGATTTCACTCAACGTAGTCAAAAAATCACTAAATTAGGTCAAAAAATACATTTTTTAGTAGTTTTTTTCTAACCAGAAACAAACATTTCGTTAAAAACAAACCGAAAATTTGTCAAATCGAGTTATTTTTGCATTTTTATAGTGTTTAAGCATGTTATTGAACTAAAATTTAATTTTTTTGCAGTCTTAGGATGTTTTTCAGCTAGAAACGCAGTTATTTAGCAAAAACAAGCAAAAAGTCAAAAACACCAAAAACGGTGTTGTTTTAGCCTTTTTCCGAGTGTTTAACCACATTTTTGAGATAAAAACAAAACAAATGTACAAAATTTTATCCAAAGACACTTAAAACCATAAAAATAAATTGAGATTGATGCTAATTTGTTTATTTCATTCCATTTAACTACTTGTTTTTTTTTGCTTTTTAAGCAAAATTAAGTCAAAAATACGCCGAGAAACCACAAAATTTGGTCGAAAATGTTTTTAAGCACATTTTTCTACAAAAATTCAGTGTTTTTTGTGGGATTTTGCTAAAACAAACCAAAAATCAATAAACTAAGTCAAAAATTGACTTTTTCGGGCATTTTAGCATGTTTTTCAGCTAGAAACGCAGTTATTTGCAAGATTTTGTTAAAAACAGGCAAAAATTCAACAAAATGGGCCAAAAACGGCGTTATTTTCGCCTTTTTCGAGTGTTTAAGCACGTTTTTTAAGATAAAAACAAAAAAATGTTCAAAAAGTTACAAAATAAAATCGAAATTGATATAATTTTTTAACTTACTTTGCCCGATTTGGTTCTTTTGGAACCAGAGGCTCATTTATTTTGCAAAAACTTGTCCCAAAAAGGTGTAAAAAACTATTGAAATAGATGTTATTCTGTTTATTTTTGTTGATGTAACTGGTTTTTGAGCAATATTAAATCAAAAATCAGACGAGAAAACACAAAATTTGGTCAAAAATACTTTTAAGCACGTTTTGTACTAAATTTCAGATTTTTTCGGAGATTTTGCTAATATAAAGTCAAAAATTTTATTATTTCCTTATTATTTGAGTGTTTTAGAGCGTTTTTCACCAAAATTTTGTTAAAAGCCTGCCAAATAATCATAATTAGACCGAAAATGATGTCTTTTTGCTTTTTTCGAAAAACTCCGTTTTTCGAGATTTTGCCATAGGTACCGTGTAAAAAATCACTAAATTGTTAAAAAAGCCTTTTAACTACTCAGTTCATGTAAAAAACAGAAAGATGTAAATCGTAAACTTGTAATCTGAAATTTTTCATTTCGGATCTGGTGAATTTATTTTTTTTGAGCTGGCGACACTGTCAACAGGTATAGGGTACCAGACTGTCCTCAATCTGGCTTCGAGGGGCTGCAGAGTGATTATGGCCGACGTTTGCGACTTAACACAATCAAGAAACAACGTGATTAAATACACAAATAATACCAACATTGTTGCAAAAAAACTAGACTTGGCTTCACTTCAATCAATTCGAGATTTTGCCTCCGAAGTGGCAAAAACCGAGTCAAGATTAGATATTTTGGTAAACAATGCGGGAATAAGTGCCTCGAAATCAAACAGAACCGAAGACGGCTTAAATCCAGTTATGCAAATTAATTATTTTGGACATTTTTTATTAACACATTTATTGATTGGTATTTAATCACACTACACGCAATTTAATTGCTCAATTTTATTTTTATTTTTTGAGATTTATTGAAAAAATCGTCCAGTCGCATAGTTTTCACCAGCTCTTTCATGTCCTTTTTCCACAACTTGACCCTCAAAAACCTCAACTATGACGCAACCCCTGACGATTCCATCACCGCATTGCGAATTTACTGCAACTCAAAACTGGCTCAAATGATCGCCTCGGACATTTTTGCCTCAAAATTGAGAGGAACGGGAGTTACCTCAAACTCCGTCAATCCGGGAATTGTTAGAACAACGCTTCTCGGACAGTTTTTTTCAGTTCAAACCAAACTGAAACCGCTGAGACTCTTCACAGACTTGTATTTGCGCTTTATGGCCAAGGTGAGTAAAATTTTTTGCAGCCCAAGGGCCGAAAATTGGTTTTAGGACCCGTGGGAGGGATCACAAGTCATTGTGCACTGTGCTGTCTCCAAAAGATTAGAGGGAGTGAGTGGGAAATATTTCTGGGATTGTATGTCCGCTTTCAAGCCTTCCCTGGCTAAGGATGAAGAGTTTTGCCGGAAATTTTGGGAGAAGTCCGAGAAATTCGTGAAATTGGCACCGGAAGAGAGACTTTAATTTTTGTTACTTGAAATAAAGTTTTTTACTGACATTGTTTTTTATTTCGAGTTTTTAACAACGCTATTAACGAACTCGTTTGGGTGCGATAACAACCCAGAGTATTTTATGTTTTTAATGTTGGTCACAATAACGTTGGAATTAAATTTTTTCGGTGAGGTATATGAAAAATCTTAAGAGTTCATTTCCAGATTAAAATGTCAATCAACTAACGCAAAATTCCCAAAATTATTTTTTTCCTTAAAAAAAACCGCAAAATATAAAAAAATAGTATAAAAGATTCGTTTCAGAAAGCTATTCAAGCAGTTGTTTCTTGAATTTCAAACTTTTGCTCGGATGGATGTCCTGCAACTCGTATTGTAGTATACTATTTTTTATCAAAATCCTAGTTAATTGATTTATTGATACGTAAATATCTGTTTAATGTGTCACTTTTGTATTAAAATAATTAAAAAGATTCAAAAAGTACCGTTTTATTGGCGCCGGAAGAGTGGCTTTAATTTTTGTTACTTAAAATAAGTTTTTACTGACATTTACTGTTTTTTATTTCGAGTTTTTATAACAACTCGTTTGGGTGCGTTAACAATCTAGGGTATTTTACGTTTTTAATGTTGGTCACAATAACGTTGGAAGTCAATTTTTTCCCTGGGTACATGAAAAATTTTAAGAGTTCATTTCCAGATTAAAATGTCAATCAACTAACGCAAAATTTCCAGAATTATTTTTTTCCTTAAAAAAAACGCAAAATATAAAAAAATAGTATAAAAGATTCGTTACAGAAAACTATTCAAGCAGTCGTGCCTTGTGTTTCAAACTTTTGCTCGGATGGATGTCTTTTGCAGCTCGTATTGTAGTATATACTATTTTTTATCAATATCAACATCAGAATTCTAGTTAATTGATTTGTTGATAGGAAAATATCTGATTAATGTGTCAGTTTTGTATTAAAATAATTAAAAACATTCAAAAAGTACCGTTTTATTGGCGCCGGAAGAGAGGCTTTAATTTTTATTACTTAAAATAAAGTTTTTTACTGACGTTATTTTTTATTTCGAGTTTTTAACAACTCTATTAACGAACTCGTTTGGGTGCGTTAACAACCTAGGGTATTTTATGTTTTAAATGTTGGTTACAATAACGTTGAAAGTCAAGTTTTTCGATGAGGTATACATGAAAAATCTCAAGAGTTCATTTCCAGATTAAAATATGTCAGTCAACTAACGAAAATTCCCAAAATTATTATTTTTTTCTTAAAAAAAAGCGCAAAATATTAAAAAAATGGTATAAAAGATTCGTTACAGAAAGCTATTCAAGCAGTCGTTTCTTGAATTTCAAACTTTTGCTCAGATGGATGTCTATTGCAACTCGTATTGTAGTGTACTATTTTTTATCAATATCAATATCAAAATCCTAGTTAATTGATTTGTTGATACGTAAATATCTGTTTAATGTGTCAGTTAAAAGGATTCAAAAAGTACCGTTTTATTGGCGCCCGAAGAGAGGCTTTAATTTTTGTTACTTAAAATAAAGTTTTTTACTGACATTATTTTTTATTTCGAGTTTTTAACAACTCTATTAACGAACTCGTTTGGGTGCGTTAACAACCCAGGGTATTTTATGTTTTTAATGTTGGTCACAATAATGTTGGAAATCATTTTTTTCGGTGAGGTACATACATGAAAAATCTTAAGAGTTCATTTCCATAGTAAAATGTCACTCAACTGACGCAAATTTCCAAAAAAATTTTTTCCTTAAAAAAAACGCAAAATAAAAAAAAATAGTATAAAAGATTCGTTACAGAAAGCTATTCAAGCAGTCGTTTCTTGAATTTCAAACTTTTGCTCGGATGGATGTCTTTTGCAACTCGTATTGTAGTATACTATTTTTTATCAATATCAACATCAATATCCTAGTTAATTGATTTGTTGATACGTAAATATCTGTTTAATGTGTCAGTTTTGTATTAAAATGATTAAAAAGTATCGTTTTTGCAAGAGAGGGAATTTTTAATGAAGAGGAAAAAGTCACTTAGACAAGGATACATTGATTCTAAATCTCATTAAAGAAATAAAGAGAAAACATAACAGACAATGGTACCAAATCATTTTCTCTCTTTTGTTTTATTTTTTTTTCTGGTTTCAGAATTTTAAAAGTCGATACAGAAAATATTAGGGAATAAAAATTACATTTTTCTCCCTAAAGAAAAAAATTTGTTATATTTTTATGGCTTCTAAATTCTTCTCAGAAAACACTTTGCAGAGGTGTAAAAAATTCTAGTACCTTTTGGTTAAAAAAACTGTAGTTTAGAAAGGGCGTATTTTGCGTTTTTAACTAACGCAAAATTCCCTAATTATTGTTTTTCCTTAAGAATAAGAGAAAGATTGCAAAATAGAAAAAAAAATGTAAAAGAGACTTGTTACAGAAAGTTATTCAAGAAATCGTTTCGAACTCTTGCTTGAATGGACAACTTCTGTAACTATTTAGTATTTTAATAATATATGTACTATTTTAATTAATTGATTGCTAGTTAAAAGTAATTAATGGAATCAGAACTAGACCAAAATTTTGTTTTTGTTTTCCAGTTTTATCACAAATTCATAAATACTAGGTTTTGTGGTCAAATTGAGAGAAAATCAAATAAAACAGAACTAAAGCAGGACTGTTTCCCATTAAGGTCAATTCATGACTGTATTTATCAACAATAATTAGTGTGGATAATCACAATCAATAAACTCTAGTGATTTTATAAATTGCCATGTATTTTTAATAAATTTTAAAATAACACTTGGAAAGATTAATAGAAATATCAAAAAACAAGAACAAAAAGTTGCAAATTAAAGAAACGACCACCACGGTTATGTTCAGAAAATCTTCGTGATGAGCTCGGAATGAAAATTTAACAATTTGTTTAAAAAAAAGTACTGGCTAAAATAGTTATTAAAAATTAAAATTAAAAAATTCAATTGGTGGGCTGCCATGAAAAATTTTTTTTTACAAAACTCGAAAACTAAAAGACATTTTGGAAAATGTTATTTTTGATAAATAGTCACATTTTGTACTTTACGCTACACTAATTATTTTTTTCGTAAAGTGCTTATATAGTTTACGAAAAAAACGCTTGGTTTATACTTTTTACTCTTAGAACTATAAAAATCAAACAAACAAAACTATAAAGTTTATTGTTTTTTTTTTTCTTAATTAACCGAAACTAATCTAATTATTCGCAACAGAATTAATTAAATTAAAAAAAAAATCGACAGAATTATAATTCAATTATTATTAATTACGATTAGTCAATAATTTTGTAGTTTTTACTTCTGACAAAGCAACATTATTACATAAGCAGAACAATCATTTCCGATCCAAATTATGAGATTATGTTTCAATTAAAAAGGAATTAAAATAAAATTATTGCATGTCATGTATACAGTGTGAGCCAGGAAAATTCTCTTCTTTTCTTTTCTAGCGAGAAAGGTCGCGCACGGATTATAATATTCATGATTTTATATAATTGAATGTTAATTAATTCTGATTTTTTACTTGATTCAAATAGAAAACTATCTCATCTACAGAATGAGTCACTGAAAGAATTTTCGACTATTTCACAATTTTTTTAATAGAACGCACTGTATATTTTCCCGTTTCGCAACATTAACAGCGAATTTTTTGGCACAAATGCGGTAATTGTAAATTGTTATTGAAGTGAATGGGGACTATTTTTGGAAGACCTTCAAAGTGCCAAAAATTCGGGACTACTTCTGGTACTTTTCAAGATTGTTTTTTTGGGGTCAAACACACTTGTCCACCAACCAACAAGGTTTCTATCATCCCCCCCAGCCTCATAAATTTTCCTTGAAATAAAATTGAGCATCAAATAATCTCCTATTTGCTCGTAATAGTGAAAGTTCAGTTCAAAGTGTTCTCAAGAAAGCTATAAAACACGGTAAGAGTGAACGTTGCTCATTTTGTTCAATTTAACATCGAAGGTAAACATGAACTACGATAAGTAATTTCCGCCGTCCTTGTACTTGCCTTAAAACCAGAAATTTCGCGCTAAAATCGTCAATAATGTTGTACTTGTGTTTGGCCATTTTGCTCATCTTGTGGGCCATCGCGCGCTTGACTCTGGGAATCACCAGAAGCCCCACATGTCTCGTGGGCAAAACGGCCCTGGTGACCGGTGCAAACTCCGGTAAGTCTCAACCAAATCCCGGAAAAAAAAATTAACAAATTGTCAGGTTTGGGGTACCAGACTGTCCTCAATCTGGCGTCTAGGGGATGCACCGTCATAATGGCCGACGTGGCCGACATGGAAGATTCAAAAAAACAAATCATCAAAGCCACAAACAACACAAACATCACCACGAAAAAACTCGACTTGACTTCGTTCAAATCGGTGCGAAATTTCGCCGACGATATTTTGAATTCGGTCGATAAGTTGGACATCCTGTATAATAATGCCGGAATTGGCGTTTCCGCAAGCGACAAAACCGGAGATGGCTGCAATCCAGTGATGCAAATCAACTATTTCAGCCATTTTTTGCTCACGCATCTGCTAATTGGTGAGTTGATCAAGTGGCCTGTGACAACATTGGCAACACTGATGACAATTGCCTGTTAAAGTTTGACGTTTGAATTTGAAAGTCAAGGTTGCCAACTTAATGTCAAAGTCATAGGCCATCTAAAATCCAAGTGGGCTGTGACAAAAATCCATTAGCAACACTGATGACAATTGCCTATAAAGTTTGACGTTTGAATTTGAAAGTCAAGGTTGCCAATTTAATGTCAAAGTTATAGGCCACCTATTATCGTATCAACAATAAATTACTCGTTATGATTTAGGGATATTCATGAATAGGTTGCTATAGATTTGCTTAGGTTGGTTTTTAGTGACAAACAAAAGATATCGTAACTAGTGTCAAAAATTTAGGTTAAGTCACCTGTCAGTCTGTGTAGAATAGTTGACAGCAGGTTGACAGCAAACGTCAACAGTCATCAACAAGGGGTAACCAACACTAGGCATTCAAAATTACTTCTGAAAATTCTAGTTACAAACAACATGAAAAACGTAATTTTCCTAAAAATTCAAATCCTAGGTGGTAATTTCTTGTTGACAAATCTTTAAAATCTAAATGGCCTGTGACAAAAATCCGTTGGCAACACTGATGGCAATTGCCTGTTAAAGTTTGACGTTTGAATTTGAAAGTCAAGATTGCCAACATGTCAATGTCATAGGCCACATAAAATCCAAGTGGCCTGTGACCAAAAACCCGTTGGCAACACTGATGGCAATTGCCTGTTAAAGTTTGACGTTTGAATTTGAAAGTCAAGATTGCCAACTTAATGTCAAAGTCATAGGCCACCTATTATCGTATCAACAATAAATTACTCCCTAGGATTTAGGGATATTCGTGAATAGGTTGCCATAGATTACTGACAAACAAAAGATACCGTAACTAGTGTCAAAAATTTAGATTAAGTCACCTGTCAGTTTGTATAGAATAGTTGACAGCAGGTTGACAGAAAAGGTCAACCGTCAACAACAACGGGTAACTAACCTTAGGCATTCAAAATTACTTCTGAAAATTCTAGTTACAAACAACATGAAAAACGTAATTTTTCTAAAAATTCAAATCCTAGGTGATCATTTCTTGTTGACAAATCTTTAAAATCTAAGTGGCCTGTGACAAAAATTCGTTGGCAACACTGACGACAATTGCCTGTTAAAGTTTGACGTTTGAATTTGAAAGTCAAGGTTGCCAACTTAATTTCAAATGTGAAATTTTTTTCAGACTTGCTGAAACGCTCTGCTCCTAGCCGAATCGTCTCAACGTCGTCGCTCCTCGCCTACACTAATAATTTATCACTGAAAAAACTCAACGAAACGCAGAATTCCGACAGTGTAATCGCACGAACGTGTCTTTATGGCAACTCTAAGCTTTGCCTCATCATAATGTCGAACATTTTGGCTGAAAAACTGAAAAACACTGGAGTTACAGCAAATTGTGTTCATCCAGGTCTAGTCACAACCCCGATTTTCACTAAAACTTACTCGATTTGTAACAACAATATTTTGGAATTTTTGTCGCACTTGATTCATAAATTTTTTGCAAAGGTAAGTGTAAAAATGAGAAATTGTGATTTTTTTAATTTTTTGGTAGGACCCTTGGGAGGGCTCCCAGACTTTGGTCCATGTGGGGGTTGATAAGAGTCTGGAGAACGTGAGTGGGAAATTCTTTTCGGATTGCAAGCCCTTTGTGAAGCCCCGGAGTGCCTATGATAAGGCGTGGTGTAAGAAAATTTGGGAGGAGACGGAGAAAATTGTCGATTTGGCACCCAATGAAAGACTTTAAGTTTGTTATTTTAGTACCGATAAGCAATAAAGGTTGTGGTAATTTATGTTTTTATGTAAATTACGTCAAGGATCATTTACAAATATTTTACATTAAAATATAATAGAAATTAAATTGCTGTTTCATTAGTAATTGCATTGTATTGCAAGTATTGTATAAAAAATGAATTCAAGGCAATTACCTCTCCTTTTCTTTTGCCTTCATTATGTAAATACTCCCACTCAACCGTCACTCTGAAAAAAGCATTTTTCTATTTCGAAAGCTTATTTCGATACCAAAACCGATGCTTTAATGAACCATTTCAACACCGATTCGGGTGCTGAAATAAACTAGTACAATTTACTTTCTAGAGGTTGGTAATGATGATTTTCAGCGGCGTTTTGGGTGATTTCTCTTTTTTCAGGTGGTGTGCATGTAATATTGCAGTATTCATTGTTAATTCAACAAAATTTTGAAAAATACTTAAGACTTGACACTTCGAAAATCAAACTTTTTGTGACATTTATTACCAACCACAATCTTATTGAGCAAATGTTCCTAAATTTTGAAAAATTGACTTTTATGTTAAAAAAGTACGTAAAAGAGAAAAAATAGCATAAAAAAAACTTGTTTCGTCTGGTCGGGAAACCGATCATTATCACTGGGGCCAAGGTATTGGTTAATATACTGAGCGACACTAGAAATGACCCTTTGTAGGTGTGGGGTATTAAACCGCTCTGAATTTGACTTCGCGGTGGTAAAATGAAAATAATGTGAAAAAAATTCAAGATGATTAAGAGATAAGTCGATTCTAAATTGTGATTAGGGAACAATTGATGTCAAATGTCATCATAAAAGTGAATTATTTTTGACATTTTTTGCTTGTAAGGTTTTTTTTTTACAAAAACAACAAGATTAGTGAGTTATTCCTGTATATTTTTATTAATTTTATAAATAACATATAATAATAATAGTATATTATTCAATGAGTACATAGCGGAGGCTTTAATTCACGAGCCGAGTGCGAGTGTATAAATCATCCGAGTGAATTATAGCTATTATGTGCGAGTCAAATTCGACGTTTTATCTACGATTTTTTTAAATAAAACACTTTGTATACAATTTTTTTTTTATTAATATACATAGCCCTACGTATACCGTTAAAAAACTGAGTCAATTTCATAGGGTAGGCGACCAACATTTCAAGCTTTTAGAGGGTACTAGATATTAAAATATTTAAACCTAGAATTTTGTGTCAATGCAAGCTGTTCTTAGCCCTCACCCTCTTTAAACTATTTCCCTCTTGATACCACAAAAACATTTCATTTTTTTCTCCTTTGATGTACAGTTGTGGAATTAAAATTTCGGGCAGTATTGTCATTTTCACAATGTAAACTCTAAAACAACCTTTACATTAATAACCTCATTTTTTACTCTTGTCATGTTTATGTCATTTTGACTTAAAAAATAGCGACATTGACAGAAAAGTTAATTGCCAAATGTCAGTCATGATGACAGTAAAAGGTAGTTTACAGTGAACTTTTTGAAGTGACAAACTTGACACAAAATTTTAGTTTTGAATATTTTAATATCTAATTCCCTCTAAAAGCTTGAAATGTTGGTCGCCTACCTTATGAAATTGACCCGTTTTTTTAACTGTATACATAGGGCTATGTATACTAATAAAAAAATGTCCCTGTATATTTATTATAATGACAGATCTTATGGTCTATAACAAGTCACGGATATAACGTTGGCAACCAACATTACAAATATTTCATGGTCGCGGATTAAAATAATAAAATAATTACAAATAAAAATTGATGAACGGGAGAAACTCATCTTTTTATAATTGTGAGGCGATAATCGTGAATAAAAATTGCGTTTAAGGCATTTAAGAAATGCGAGTGAGGAGGAAAAATGTGTTAAAAAAAATGTTTGAATTGTCCGCTGTAATTGTCAGCCGGTTATGGTGTGGTGGCGCCCTCCACCCGCCGGTAGCGCAAACCACTACAGGAATCGCCTTATTATCAATAATTTTCGATTTTTTGCTCCTGTATCGATTTTGTTATACCTCTTATCAAAATCCAAAGTGATAAAAGTGAAAATTCGGTGAAAATGAGTAATTTGTTTGAAATTCGGGGGCGGTAGTGGGGATTTTGACGCATGTCCGGGAGCATATTGCAATGAAAATGGCGTCCTGTTGTCAGGATCGGTTTCGAGCAAATTTTAACTCTTAAAAAACTTCATGACCTATGCTTCATCAAGTAAAATGAATAGCAGAGAAATAATCTAAATAATCAGTAGTACAAAACGAACCGAATATTTTCGCACTGAGCCATCCGCAAGCCTTGAACCGTCTCTCGCAAGAGATGCCTCCGAAACCTGTTCAGTTCTAGTGTAGTGCGGTGTTTGTTGGTGTAAACCCCCGGAATTCACTACAGGGTGAGTGTTTGATCAATTTCTCGGCCGCTTCTTTGCCCGATTTACTCCTGCGAATCACCAGACCCACCCAACCACCATCATCACGTTCGCATTTCCCAAGGTCACGTCTGTCATTCGTCGATTTTCCGCTGATTTTTCCGCGATTTTCGCCGTGGGGTAAGCCGGGCATCGAAGTGCCGCACGGACCCGCCGCCACGCATGCCAACAGCGTCGTCAACATAACCTGAGTTTTGAGTATGTGGTCTTTTTCCAGAGGATCAGGGCCGACAGCACCATATATGATGTGCTGGAGCCACCGTTTGGGGTCGTAAAATGGAAAAAAACCGACATGGCCGACATAAAGATAAGTCGAGAAAGTCGAAAAAGCGAAAAAATCGAGAGGCCAACGGCGCCTCGTCCACGTCTCTAGCCGCCTCCAAGCCCCTGGTCGAGTACTCGGATGTGAGCTCGGAGGACCTCTCGGGGCCCGAAGCCGGCGAAATCCAGAGCGGAGAGGAGAGTCTCAGTCTGAGTGATGACGGCGAAATAATGCACAGGAGCAGTCGCAGGTTCACGCGCATTGAAGAAGACTATTACCTCGCTAGAGAGTCGCAACTGGTCATTGGACACTCTCCAGGTACCCCACCCGACCCCAAACCTCTCATCTCATACCCCAACCACTCGCCAACCAAAATCACCAAAAGTTGGCAACACCACGTTTCCATGGCTACGAATTTGTTGTCAAAAAAACATGGTTATGTTACGTGTTGTCAAATTTTGACTTTTGGGGTTGGGTTGTTAGTCTCATCGAGTGTTGTCTTTCAGGCCGTCGACATAGACTTGACCCGTCTATGATCCCCCGTTCCCCCTCACCGCTGATGGTAACACACCGTGAGCGTAAGCCCTCAGTCTCATCGAGATCGTCCAGATCGAGCGAAATCAGACACCGGCGAAAGACCGAAGGTTCGCCCTCCGATTACCGACAAGTGGTTGTCTCGCCCGACGATTATGATTCACTAGATCGAAAAAAGCGAAAAAAGAAAGACAAGAAACACAAAAAGGAAAAGAAGAATAAGAAGAAGAAGAAACGTAGTAAACACCACTCGAGTACAAGTCTTGATAGTCTCGATTCCGATTCGGAGGAGACTCCACCGAAGAAAGCCGAAGGCGAGAAAGAGGTGCTTTCCGATTGGGAAACCTCCTCGGTTAAGAACCCAGCCCCCATTATCGATAAAATCGATACTAGTGCTTGTTCACCGGTATCTAACGATAGTCATATCGCGTCACCTGAGCCCCTAGAACTTGAAAAGTCGCCAAGTCCCGGGGCTGTAACGCCGCCCCCAAGACCACACAATTTGCCCCCGAGAGAGTCCCCACATACGCCGCCTTTGGTGCCCACAAGGGTCAATAACTCGATTGACGAGTACGAAAGACATAAACCCTACTCTACTTCTCCTATAGTCATTGATGATTATAACCAAAGTCATTCAGTGAAGTCGCCTTATAGAAATCCGAGTCCTGATTTAGGTATGCATCATTCACACAGTTCGAGACGACGAATGGAAAGGAGTTCAAGTCATCGCAAACATAGAAGGGAGAAAGAGAAGTTGAGGGACAAGAGGAGGCTGTCGAGGAGTCGCAGTCCCATCGGTCGGAGACGCTCGAGGTCACCGAGTTGGAGCAGGAGGCACCACAGCCCCTCGCCCAGTCGGAGCAAATTGAAGAAGTATAAGTCGAGGAGTCCGAGAAGGGAGCGCGACAGGACGCCCTCAAGGTAAATATTGAGATCACTTATTCCATGTTAAAGTTATATCGGGAAATGCAAAAATTGTATTCTTTATTTATTTATAAAAAATTCAGGTTATTTAGGGCCTAAAACCGTTCAAAACTAAAAAGTTGTAAGCTAAAGCCGTATACTTCTAAAACGATAAAATACTAAAACCGTCCATTATTAAAAAAATTAAAAGAAAACGTTGCAACGCTAAAAACGGAAATCCATAAAACCGTGCATGAATAAAACTGGTAAAAAGTAAAATGATAAAATAGTAATCTGCAGTGTCGGTAACACTATAGTTTACATAGTAGTAGGGATTGACGTTTTTTTCCATTCCAACGTTTTATTCTATACTACTTCTTATAAATGAAGTATTTTAGTAGATTTCGTTTTATACAGAGTGTGCCAGAACTCGCGCCCCATGTAAGATAAGATACCAGGAACATGGAAAAAATGTTAAAAAATTCCATCTATAAAAATTTCGAAATTATGAGTTTAATTTTTGTACTTTGACTATTTGTTTCTGTTGGAAAATTAATTTTCCAAGTTTTTTTTGCTACAGGCTGTTAGAAGAGGAAACAAAGAAACTGTATCCTAAATTGTAACTGTTAATTGTTATTTGTGGCTTTTATTGGCAAAATTTTTGCATAATTATACAAAAAAAACATATAGAAGATTATTAGTATCATTAAATAGACATAAAGAAATGTCAAATGTCAAAAAAGAAATTACAGATAGAATTTTTTATACATTTTTTCCATGTTCCATGTTTACTTGAAATTTTTCTCTGGGGCTTGACTTTTGACACATCCTGTATGTTTACTGTTTTTGGTCCTGGCCGTTTTTAATAATGAACGGTTTTGTCTTTTTATTGTTCTAAAGTGAACGGCTTTAGCTTCTAACTTTTAGTTTTACACAGTTTTAGTAGCGCATTTTTTAGTGTTTCCACTTTAAATAGTCTTTATTAAACTCATTAAATTGCACATTTTAATATAATTTTAAACATATTTTAATCTAATAATGTAATTTGAGTGTGAGAAAGAAATTATAAGAAAAACATTATACATCAGGGTGTTTCACACAATTTTAATAGGGCTTGCTCTTAATGTACCATTGAAGTCAAAATATACTGGTACAGTGTGTTACTGTAGACACTTCTAAAATTCAAATTTTGATGTAAACACTATTTTTGTATGTAAATCGGATTTGTCATAATTTTTAAAGGTTAAGTATTTGTCATGGTAATGTCAAATATGTCATATGATTCTTAAAAAGGCATTAAATCGGTTCTTGGAAACAAGTTTTACGAATAAAATGATAAATTTATGACTTTGTGATAGACTGCGTTGTCTGAGAACTTTGACGTTTTGGATTTGTATTTTTACAAACTGTCACCTTGCTATTTCATAATCATAGCTTGCTAACGCAATTAATTATGTTTCCTTAAGCCAGATTTAAACAATTAAAATTTTGCTGTACCAGTATATTTTGACCGCGATGGTACGCACCCAAATATACAAAATTCACAAGACACTAGATACAAAAAATACACATTTAATTATTTAATTTTTGGAAACCCTTGACAGTAGTTGTCAAACTAATTATTGTTTCATTAATAGTCATAAACTGCAGTTTTTCAGAAACAATTATCATTTGTTCTATCAAGAGACGGCATGAATATGATTCTAGTTTATCTATCTTAATCGCTAGCTAACTAAAAATGTATTTTTGAAAGGGTGGACAAACTAGAAAAGATTATTTAATTTTTCAAAATTTGTAATCAAGTTCGTATCGGAATATGTATTATTGCTGGCATCTTACAGGCGTAGGCCTCGTAAAATTATGTGAAACACCCTGTATAACTCGGGTTGACTAAGTCTACTTAAGTTGGTAACATTGCAAACCTAGGGACAGAAGATAGAAAATTTGACAAGACGTTATCCTCTGTCCCTAGATTATTCAGCGTTAAAGTTATAGCAGGAAATTCAAAAATTATTTCCAGGACAAATTTTTATTTTATTTTAATTGTTAATAAAAAATAAGGTTCAAAAAAACTGGTCAAAACTAAAAAGTTGCAATCTAAAGCCGTTCACTTCTAAAGCAATAAAATACTAAGCCGTTGATTATTAAAAAAAGTATAAAATAAAATGTTGCAGCGTTAAAAACAGAAATGAGTATAACCGTGCATGAGTAAAACTGGTCAATACTGAAATGATAAAATAGTAATCTACCGTGCCGATAATACTGTAGTCCAAATCGTAGTAGGGATTTAAGTATTTGTTTTATTTTTTACACTTTTTTATAAATGAACTACTTTAGTAGATTTCGTTTTTAATTATTTACTGTTTTGAAGGTGAACATTTTTAATAATGAACGCTAAACGGCTATCGCAATTTATTGTTTTAGAAGTGAACGGCTTTAGCTTGCAACTTTTAGCTTTGAACAGTTTTAGTAGTAGCGCACTTCATTAAATTTAAAAAAATTGCACATTTCAATATTATTTTAAATAACATTTGATAACGATAATAATTGAATTTGAAATTCTGAAAGAAAGTCCAAAATTTTAATTTGATTGAACGCTTGGTAGAAAAAAGTATGTACATAACTCGTGTTATATTTTACAGGACCCGCGACAAGAACCGCAGCCCGAGCCCCCACTCCATCAAATCCTCCCAATTGAAGAACAAAATTACCGACACTAGTCTTTTCGCTGAGCTGGTGAAAGACCGCCACAAACGCGAACTAGAATTGAAAAAAATCGAAAACTTGCTTGAAAACAAAACCGATAAAGCGGACCCGGAAATCGAACCGAAAAAACCGGAAGCAACTGCAACCAAACCATCAATTGACGAGATAGATGCTTGCATTGATAAAACCACTAACTCCATTCCAATTCCCATGGATATCGACGATATCCCAATTCCGGACCAAAATCCGGTGAAATTAAACGAAATCGCATTACCGGATTCGGCACCGTTGCCAAATGACAAACCGGAACAACCGCCAACGCCACCGTTACCGAATAGTGCGCCGCCAAAACCGATTGAAAACAAAACACTACCGCCACCACCGCCCGCTCCACCGAAAAAGGAAGTCGGGAAGAAACAAAAGATTACGAAATTACCGATGCCGCCTGGATTGAATCAGAACGAATTGGAGATGATTGAGTCGCCGCCGAGTCGGTCACCGACGCCGCCACCGGCCGTAGTCAAACCCAAGACGCCGCCCCCGAAAAAGGGGATCATGAATCTACCAATGCCGCCAGGTATGATTTATTCATTATTATTTTGATAACACTAATTTTTTTCGTTTAGTTATCCCCGGAACGGAAGAATTGAGTGGGGATGATGACGTCACGAATACACCCCCACGTATCACGAATAACAAAGTCGGTGAAAAGTCAAAAATGACGCCAAAACCGCGTCTCAAACGTCCGAAAATCCTCAAACGACGCGGTTCGAGGAATTTCCAAGCTGTCAGTGGTAAAGATTGGGGCGAAAGATGTGTCGATATGTTCGAAGTTATTGCACAGATCGGTGAAGGAACTTATGGTCAAGTTTATAAAGCGAAAGATGTCACAGCTGGTGAATTAGTGGCCTTGAAAAAAGTCCGATTAGAAAATGAGAAAGAAGGCTTTCCGATAACAGCAGTTCGGGAGATAAAAATTTTGAGACAATTAAACCATAAGAATATCGTCAATTTGAGGGAAATCGTGACGGATAAACAGGACGCTGTTGATTTCAGAAAGGATAAAGGATCGTTTTATTTAGTGTTTGAGTATATGGATCACGATCTGATGGGGCTGTTGGAGTCGGGAATGGTCGATTTTAACGAAATGAATAATGCGTGTATCATGAAACAGTTGCTAGATGGACTGAATTACTGTCACAAGAAAAATTTCTTGCATAGAGACATCAAATGTAGTAATATTTTAATGAATAACAGGTGAGTGGTTGTTTGTGGTTCAACTCGTCGCTACGTCGCTCGTGCAATTTTCAGAGGCGAAGTGAAGCTGGCGGATTTCGGTCTGGCGCGTCTTTACAACGCCGAAGACAGACAGAGGCCTTACACGAACAAAGTGATAACATTGTGGTACCGCCCCCCTGAACTCCTATTGGGCGAGGAACGATACGGTCCTGCGATCGACGTGTGGAGTTGTGGTTGCATTTTGGGCGAACTTTTCCTCAAAAAACCCCTCTTCCAGGTATACCAATCGTGAGAGTGAAATTTTTGTTATTGAAAGTTTTGTAGGCAAACGCCGAAATGATGCAACTCGAGATGATTTCCCGTGTTTGTGGTACTCCGACTCCGGCCGTGTGGCCCTCGGTTATCAAATTGCCGCTTTTCCACACTTTGAAACCGAAAAAACTCCACAGGAGGCGTTTACGCGAAGATTTCATGTTTATGCCTCAAACGGCGTTGGATCTTTTGGATAAAATGCTCGATTTGGACCCAGAGAAGAGGATATCGGCGGAGGATGCGCTCAAATCGCCTTGGTTGAAGAATATTAACCCGGAACAGTGAGTTGGTTTAGTTTGGTGGTTTTTGGTAATGTTTTTTTTTCAGGATTTGTGCACCTGAGTTGCCCACGTGGCAAGATTGTCATGAATTGTGGAGTAAAAAGAGGAAACGGCAAATGCGCGAACAGCAAGAATCGGTGCAGAATTTACCGCCCGGAAAACCGATCGTTTTGAGGGACAAAAAACCGGAAGATACGTCCGAAGTCGGGGGGTGAGTGATGTGGTAGCGATTCTGAGTTGTTGGTAAGACTGCATTGACGACTGACAATTCAGACTGATTGTGCATCTTGGACTGAAACTATTTAGATCAATTGATAAATTTTTGTTTGAATGTTAATCATAAATTATTTCCTGTAAGGGTTTTTGTATAACTTATAGTGTATCCTTTTTATCGCCCTCTCCTTATTTCTATTGCCAAAAATCCCCATCCTGTCCTATGTATTTTATGTGATAAATAATATTTTACAAGTGGGTGCTCCGATTTTTGGCAATTTAGGTTACAAAAGCGTTTTTATATTTGTTTGTGTAGATGATTAGTTTTTGGTTGCCTTTCAAAGTGCCTTCGTCTTTAAAATCGAATGTAAATTTCGTAAACTGTACGAAATCAAATTTATTCCTGTACATATAAGTTAAGCCCTAATAGATACCAATTTGTTAATTAATTATATTTGTACATAATTATGTTTTATTTTTATTTCATATAAAAATAAACGGGATTAATTTATTTTTTGTTTTTTTCTGTTTTTCTTTGACCCTGCATGCGCGTCTCGGCATGTTTGATTATTTCAAATTTCAGTTCCTCCAAAGTGCTGAAAATGGAGGCTTACGACGCAGCTGTCCTGTCGTACGCCCTGGCGACCGCGGCGACGAAAATCAAGCCCGGGTTACTGGGGATAGCCCCCATCCTGCCGCCGCGCATCCCCGAGGGGGAGTCGCTGACGCCCCCCGCGAGACACCAGGAAGCGGACGAGAACAGGAACTATCTCCAGCAGCTCCTCTGCGCCGTCGAGCAGCAAATCGTGGGCAAAACCGCGGTGCAGTTGCCCCAATTGATGGAGATCTGCGCGACGAAGCAGGCACAGGTGGGGCGCCCCCTTTGAAGCCCGATTTACGCCTCTTTTGCAGGTGGACCAGCAGGCCATCGCCCATTTGGAGACGCTCCAAACTGAGCTGCGACACATCTGCAAAAACAACCCCTCGGCCACGCATTTACTGCAACTGAAGATCGAGGAGGAGCAAAGTCCGGGAGTGTCCTTAAATACCGAAATCGTCGTGAAGAGTTTGACCGAATTGATGAAGCATTTCGGCCTGGTTTCGGGGCCCAATGTTTTGAAGAAGATTTTTGTAAGCTAATTTGTGAGCCTTAATTTTGTAAAAATTTGATATTTTGCCAGTTTCGTTCACAAACCTCATATATGTGGCAAAAATATTACATATTTTAGCAGAATACTGTCAAATTTATCGATGAGTAAATGACTACCACCTGACTGAATTGAATTTCGCGCCCCACATAACCTCACTTGACGCAACTTGAGAATAAAAAAAAATTACACAACCCAAATAATCCCAAATGCTTATTTCGCGTCCCGGATCCCAAAAATACTCACATTTAGTGCACCAAACCACCATGGGGGCCTCACAAGAGAAAACTTGTTCGAATTTTGAAACTAAAAGTCGGTCACGTGACCGGTTGTGGCTACAATCACCGATTCGACCACAACCAAATTCAACATTTAAATAATTTACAGCATAAATCGAATTATTCCAAACTCAACACTTCTCATCATTAATAAATCTAAGAAAAAGAATTACTAAATACATAACATTCTTCTTCAAATTTCTGGCAGTGTCACAAGTTACGGCAAGGTTGTGACTGTGGTCACCAATTTAGCCCCACTACCAAATTCCTTTAAATAATCTACACAATAAAACGTATTATTTTAAACTCGGTACTTTTTGTAATTAATAAATTTAAGAAGGAAAGTTACTCAATACGTAACATTCTTTTTCAAATCTCTGACAGTGTCAGAAGTTACGGCATAACATTCCCACATAACCTCACTTTTCAGCAAGTATAAACAATGAATAATTTGGAAATCCCGGCCGATTCGGCCCCCGAATTCACCTCAACCAACGAGACTAGTCTTCTGGTGATAATTGTGGATAGTAACCCCAGCCAGAAAATGCTCCGAGACAACCCCCACGTCCTCACCCACTGCATCGACTCAGTCATAGCTTTCGCCAATTCCCATTTAATGCAAAAGGCCCAGAACAAGCTCGCCGTCATGGCTTGCCACTCCAGAACCAGGTAAGTGCCCCCACAGCCCCAAACCAGTCTCACTCCACCTTTCAGCGAGTTTATATACCCGGGCCCCCACAAGCCCCTCGACGTGCGCCAGATCGACGGCCAGTACGAGGTTTTCACGGCAGTGGAGAAAACAATCAAGCAAAACTTGGCCAAACTTTTGGCCACCGAAAAGTCAACTCTTGTGACTGAGTCGCTCCTCGCGGGGGCTATCGCCATGGCGCTGTGTTACATCGCGAGGATCCAGCGCACGAAGCCCCCCGGGTGTGTGCTAAACAGCCGGATTTTGGTCGTGACGGGGAGCGGCGACTCCGCCTCCCAATACATGAATTACATGAATGTTTTTTTCACAGCACAAAAACAAGGGATTGTCATTGATGTGTGCGCCCTTGACCAACATTTGAGTCTCCTGCAGCAAGGCTGCGACATCACAGGGGGGCTGTATTTGAAGGTCCCCCAACTTCAAGGCCTTTTGCAGTACCTTCTGGTAAGTTCAATACAAAATCAGTGGGCTGTGATTTTAAATAAAATTGGCGTTAAGTCAGTATTGCCAGCCCAAGAAATTAAAAATTTACCAGAATTGAGATGAAAAAGTGACAGATTTTTACACCAAATTAAAAAAAAAAGATTATGGTTTGAATTTTTCTTATACATTCGAAAAAGGCAACAATAACACTGTCTTTGGTCTATTTTGTGTTTTTTTGGCTTGTTTTTAACGAAATTTTACGAATAACTGCATTTCCGGCTGAAAAACATGCTAAAATGCCCGAAAAATATAATTTTGACTTAATTTATTGATTTTGTTTTAGGAAAATACCACAAAAAACCCTGAATTTTATTAGAAAAATGTGCTTAAAAATATTTTCGACCAAATTTCGTGGTGTCTCGGCGTATTTTTGACTTAATTTTGCGTAAAAAGCAAAAGCAAACAAAACAAGCGGTTAAATGGAATGAAATAAACAAATTAACATCAATTTCAATTTATTTTTATGGTTTTTAAGTGTCTTTGGACAAAATTCTGTACATTTGTTTTGTTTTTTTCTCAAAAACGTGGTTAAACACTCGAAAAAAGGCTAAAATAACACTGTTTTTGGCCCATTTTGTTTGACTTTTTGCTTGTTTTTGCTAAATAACTGCGTTTCTAGCTGAAAAACATCCTAAGACTGCAAAAAACTGAAATTTTTATTTCAATAACATGCTTAAACTCGATTTGACAAATTTTCCGTTTGTTTTTAACGAAATGTTTGTTTCTGGTTAGAAAAAAACTACTAAAAAATGTATTTTTTGACCTAATTTAGTGATTTTTTGACTACGTTGAGTGAAATCTCATTAAAAATTAAATAATGCTATTTTTTTAACTAATTTGATGATTGTTTGATTTATTTTTGGGAAAGTTTTGCAAAATAATTAAGTTTTCTGGCTAAAAAACATGCAAAATTCTCAAAAATTGCGCAAAAAAGTGACAGATTTGACGGAAAAATCTCATAAAAAAACTGAATTTTAGTAAAAAAATGAGCTGAAAAGCATTTTCGATCAATTTTTTTTGTTTCTCGGCTTACTTTTGACTTAATTTTACTTAAAAAAAACTAAGACGAACGAAATTAACAAACTAACATCAATTTCTACTTAATTTTTGTAATTTCCCAGTGTGTTCAAGAAAAAATTTTTGAGTTAGAAAAGGCAAAAGTAAATTGTCATTTTCGGCCCTGTTTAGCAAAGTCTTATAAAAACAAACAAAACTATTTTTAACTGGTTTATCGATTTATTTTTCAGAAAATTTAGCGAAATAGTCAAGTTTCTGAAAAACGTGGAAAATGCTCGAAAATTATTTTTGACCAAACAATTGACAAATTAGTGTAATATTTTTTGTTGTAACCGCAGAGTTACATCTCCAAAAAATCACCAGATATAATAAATCACCATATCTGGCAACACCGTTAAGAGTTTTTTTTTAGCCAAGCCGCAAACCTGGGACTCACCTGAGTTTGCTCCCGTGACAATTGCAGTTTTGCCCACTAGACATGTCGAACTTTTCGTTTTAGCAATGGTCAATCGATGAAACGCGTAGACGAGAAAAACGACACAGCAAAGAAACGCCAACATCTTGGTTATATTGCAGTTGGCCTCGAACGGTCAAGGTTCAGTCTTCGGTCCGGTTGGGGGGCGATAAATAAGCAAGTTAACAACACAAGACTAGTTTTATTGATAAATGTAATTACAAAATATGAGAAAAATATATTGAACATATCTTTGAGATCTAACCGACTTTCGCAAAGCGGCCAACAGAAAAGTGGTAAAGCAGTTTCATATACCGACATCTACAAAAATACACAGATCTTTCTCTCTAGATACAACGACCGGTGGCGGTCAAAAGTCGAAAGGCTGCCGCCACCGAACTGAAAATAAGTGCATCCGCAAACCACACATAGTCGATGAAGCACAAATGAAAGCCACATTTACTGGGAAAATACAAAATTACCATTTTTTACAAATAAATGTACATCAGGCAACCGGTTGAAAGTCGCCCCGTCATATTTGTCGCCAGCAGTAGTAAAACAATGGAAACCATTTACCCTGTAGTAACCAATGGGATTGTTCGAACATGATTGGTGGAACTACCAGTGAGACAATTTATGAATGGGGGCGTCAGCAAGAATAACACCAAACACTTACTTGTACTGCTTAGAGGAATAGTCATATACCCTGCGTAGTCGTCTGTTCAACTATTTATATTTTTAATGGATGGATTACACTTTTGAGCAATAAACTCGTCGAATTTGTTAGAAAATTCAAGCAAATTTTCTCACAAATAACCGTCCCGAAAATAAAACACTTGCAGAAAAACAACAATTATTAAACACACAGAAAGGAAAAAAACGAATAAATAATTATGTACATACAACAAAATCCAACGAAATCAGTCTAAGTAACTCTTGATCTCAGTGACTTATAATTACAGAATTCCTTTAGCGGCAATGTACATATATAAGTATGATATATACACCTATTGTCACACAAATTTGACGGCACTTATACATGCTTCATAACCAATTGCACAATTCAAACATTTAAATGACACATCCTAAATACGTGAAATAAATTAATCATACTATGAAAAAAAAACAAAGAAAACAATGGTCCCTCATTTACCGCAACAAAACCAACCGAAAACAACTTATTGAAACGTCACGATAAACTTCGCCCCTTTCGAAAGCTAGCTAATTTTCGCCCGTTTCGAAAGGTGGTCAGAGGGGCTCACACAACTCAATTTCGCGCTCACACCCCCGTTGCAAACCCCATCGTTGCCATAAATCGACAAACTGTTCTGCATAATGTCCTGTTTCTGCAACTCAAATCATAGGACTCGGCACCCTTCTCATCCCTCATACTTACAATTCCTTCCAGAATAACAGCAATAGGAACAACACCCGTAGCTTCGGCGACTTGATGCTCAATCAAATAAAACATATACTCGTCGTAGAGCAACCGAATCAAGTGGAACGACCCGAAACTCGCAGCTGACCTCAAAGTCAAATCCCGGATGACCATCGAACTGTAAATAGTATATTACGTATTGACTAGAAAACTAGGTATGTAATGGAGGGTGATTTTTGTAGTGCCTACATTAGAAACTTTTTAACTTCCAATATATCAAGATAATTTGTAATCGAGCCATCCTTGGATCCGAAAACGTCTGTTTCTGAAACGTCAAATAAAATGACAAGTCGAAAAGTAAAATGCCTTGATAAAAAAGATGATGATTTTAATAACTAAATTTATGATACATTCTTCCGTTTTATCTTTCGACTTGTCGTTTTATTTGACGTTTCATGTGCAGTTAAAAAGAGACATACGTTTTCAGATGCAAAGATGACTCGATTACAAATTAACTTGATCTCTCGATAGCTTTGAAATTTTGTATGCGACCAAAATCGACAATTCTTATTTTGACTTAATTATTTTTAAAACTTCCGGAACTACAAAAAATAGGCGCCAACTTTAAAATTTTAAATGGAAAGTATTAATTTTTATTGTACATTTGAATTCGCCTTCTGAACTGAGTTGTTGGTATTTATCTGTCATAATTTTGACATATGTTAATTTTTTGCCGAAATGTTTTTTATTTGCATTCAAAAAATCACAGCTCTTGAACCCTTTACAACAAGTAATTTTTTTTTGCTTAGGAGAACTGGATATTTGAAGAATCTTCTAAAGTAGCCCAAGATTGTCAAGTCTCAAATTTCAAGACCCATATAATTTTTTCAAAATGGTTATCAAAAAACAGCTATAATTCAGTTTTTTCAAATAGCATAACCCTATTTTCACAACGGCAATCCAAAGAACATCGATTTTTATGAAGACTTTTATCAACATGTCCTATACAGGGTGCGCCAGAACTGGCGCCCCAGAGGTGGGATACCAAGAACATGGAAAAAATGTTAAAAAAATTCCAACTATAAAAATTTCGAAGTTATGAGAGTATAAATTTTGCACTTTGACTCTATTTATTTCTGTTGGAAAAAAATTCCAAGTTTTTTCCTATAGGCCTAAATTGTAACTCTGTTTAATGTTATTTGTGGCTTTTATGGGCAAATTTTTGTATCTTTACGAAATAATTATAGAAAAACCGAAAAAAAAAACATATACAAGAACATCAGCATCAATAAATAGACGTCAAATGTCAAAAAATAAATGTCAAAATTTTTTGACAGATAGAATTTTTTAAACATTTTTTCCAGTTTCCTAGTTCCTAGTTTCTTATCTTACTTGAAATTATTCTCTGGGGCGCGAGTTCTGACACATCTTATATTTATCGCTTGCAATTTTTGAAATAAACACAACTTGGTTGGTAATAAGCCATAATAATTATTTTTTTACTGTTTATTCGATAATTAATGAGTTAAAAACAAACTGGAGGGTCACAATGTGACAATTATTGACCACTTTTCAAAGCTTCCTTGATTAACGATGAAAATGAAAAAACACATTTTGCATGATTATTTCAAAAACTGAAGAAGATAAACTTACTGATAAAAGTTTACAAAAAAAAGATGTTCTTTCAATTGCCGTTGAAAAAACGGGGGTCATGTTATTTGAAAAAACTCAGTTATAGCTGTTTTTTAAAAACCATTTTCTGGTTTTTTGAAATTTGACAGCTGACAATCTTGATCCACTTTAGAAGACTTTTCAAACCTTCTGTTATCAAACAGAAATTTTTAACAGAACAAAAATTTTTTTCACTTATCACGTATATTTGTAAGAATTTTCGAGTATTTTTTTGGGGTTTTTGAGAATCAGAAACATTTCTTTTAAAAATTTGGTTTTACATACACATACAATGAAGTAAATAGAATTCCACGTATTTTTAAAGATTTACAGAATTTTTTTTTAAACAGTAATTCTAAATATATTTTTTTAATTTTAGAATTTAATAAAACGAAACGTTTTTAGACATCCTCCAAATTCCGTAAAAACTTGAAATTTGACAGTTGACAATCTTGATCTACTTTAGAAGACTTTTCAAACCTTCTGTTATCAAATGCACAAATTTTTATCACTTATCTTGTATATTTGTAAGAATTTTCGAGTATTTTTTTGGGGTTTTTAAGAATCAGAAATATTTCTTTTAAAAATTAAGTTTTACATACAGATACAATGAAG